CCCTCTCTCTCCTTGCGTATGACCTATCTATCTATCTACCTGCACTCGACCTTGCAAAGTGCGCCGGCTACGAAACCTGTACTCCACCTTGCCAAAATGCTGTGCCTGCCACAAATGCGCCTGCCACGAAATCGGCACGCTGCAGTTCGCACGTGAGCAAACAGCAACCCGCGCGACTCACTGTCCCACAGTGCTGCGCATTGCTGCGCCTGTCACAAAACTCTCATGCCCATGAGAACAAAGTGCTACGCTTGCCACACAATCTGCACCTGACCTTGCGAAAGTGACCTTGCGACAGCGCTGCGCCTGCCACGCAACTCAACCTATCGAAACCTTGCGCAGCGGGCAACTTTCCGAGACGACTGTGGCGAGACCGTGGCAAGCCCGTGGCGTGACTGGGCAAAGCTTGTTTCGCATGTGGGTAAAACTCCACTTTCCGTTTTACGGAAGCTTTCCTACTATGCTTCCTTTGACTATGTTTCTGAACCAGTTATTTCCCTCGTCCCCGCTCCCCTAGATTTTTTCCAGGGTTAAAGGCAAAATGCTGTTCTGAATCAACCGTGCAGCATGGGGGATCACCACTTTGGGGCAGCTCAACCCAAATGGTTTTAGTTGGGAAGAAACAGCACACCAGGAAAGGGACGAAAAGAAATACTTCTTGGGAAGCCGAAGGGTCAGGGGCGGTTTGTTCTACAAAAAATGTTCCCGTACTCGTTGCCGGTTGCCCATCCCTCCGCCTTTCATCGGAGGCGCCAGTGCTTCAAAGGGTTTCCATGGGCTAAGCATTTCAACAGAATGCTTGAGGAGGGCAGGAGGGCCTGATGAGCTTCCGCACAACGCGGCCAGAAGCCAGCTCCACAATGTTCTTCAAGCTAGCTAGCTCGTCTGTCTGAAAGGATTTTGCCTCGGGAACCAACACGAACATATATGCCCGCATCGGTGGGAAAGCGGTTTGCAAGACATACTGGAACATTGCCAAATTGGTGCCAGGCACCCATGTTCGAAACACTCGCCTGGCCCCTCCAAAGACTCGAAGACTGGACCGCATGCGATACAAAAGCTCCTCATCGGAAAGGACCTGCAAAGGCGGTTCGAGTTTAGTATGAACTCATGTGCGGCCATATATGATATAGGCTCCAGGCTTAACAGGTCTGCTGTGGAAACCGTCAAGCAAATGTTTGTTTGTTCTCTGAGAGCCAAACTAGACACCAGATTGCAACTCGTGTCTTCGTCAATCTTTCAGTCTGCCGGACTGTAAGTGTGTGCGTGAGTGACTGAGTGCGTGAGCGAGTGGGCGCGTGAGTGAGTGGGTGCTTGCGTGAGTGGGTGAGAAAGTGAGTAAGGGAAGGAAGGCGAGGAAGGGAGGGAGGGAGGAGTGAGCGAGTGAGCGAGTGAGCGAGCGAGGGAGGACCTGCGTAAGGGAGAGAGTGCGTGCGCGCGTGCGTGCGCATGTGCGTCCGTGCGTGCGTGCGTGGGTGCGTGCGTGCGTGCGTGGGTGGATGGGTAGGGTAGGGTAGGGTGGGTGTGGGTGGGTGGGTGGGTGGGTGGGTGGGTGGGTGGGTGGGTGGGTGGGTGGGTGGGTGGGTGGGTGGGTGGGTGGGTGGGGGTGGGTGGGTGGGTGGGTGGGTGGGTGGGTGGGTGGGGCGGGCGGGCGGGCGGGCCTGCGGGGCGGCGGGCGGGCGGGCGGGGGTGGGTGGGTGGGTGGGTGGGTGGGGCGCCCGCCTGCTTAAGTGAGTGAGTGAGTGAGTGTGAGTGAGTGAGTGAGTGAGTGAGTGAGTGAGTGAGTGAGTGAGTGAGTGAGTGAGTGAGTGAGTGAGTGAGTGAGTGAGTGAGTGAGTGAGTGAGTGAGTCAGTGAGTGTGATTGAAAAAACAGCATTGCCGGGACACCTGCTGAAAATTGTCTTTGTCGTCAGCTGACCTCTTTTGATAGAGCTCCGTAAGCAGAGGTGCGCAGGCAGAGCTGCGCAAGCAGGGTTCGGGGTAAAAAATGAGTCTATGGAAACGGGCTGCGAAGCTAACTGAAGTCTATTCCCAACTCCTACTTTCAAGTATGGCCAGTTGTCGTGAAGCAAGAGGGCTGTCCTGCCAGCGCAAAGTCCGCACGCTGTAGGACTCCTGGTCCTGGTGGTCAGTCTCCGCGCCCCCACGCATGAAGCTAAATGGATTTTGGCCCTCTTCCCACATCTGGAACAATGTAGTTGCCCATTCGACATGCCACTCCTGCGACCACATCTCAGCATGATCAAACCAAGACATCCATCGAACATCCTTCGCCTCGTCGGACTTGAGGTGAATGCGAGACGCAGTGGACTCAAGGTGCCGAATCGCCACGAAGGGCGACATGCTTGCGGCGTCCATGTTGAGGTCCTGCGCAATGCTTGGCAGAAGCATTGCGAGTAGCTCGTTGTCAGGCTGCGCCTGAAAGGCGGAGAGCATACGTTCTCTGGCTGCTTTCATCTGGCCACCGAACTTGGAGGTATTGTAAGGCGCCCGTGATGAGCGAAACAACTTCATCAACAGTCGGAGTGTAGTGCGGGGGGGCGTGTGTCTGGCCCAAGCCCCGGCTTGTCGCCGCATCATCTTGTGAAAGCAATCGGGCCAAAAGGCCCACCAAAGGCCAAGATTGTTCCCGAACTGCCACGCGGTGAAGCCCTGGCGGCGGGCAGAAGTAGAACAGCTTGAGAGCAAAGAGGGGGACATTAGAGGAACAAAAAACAAGGTGTCACTTCTACGTGAAGGTTTGGGCCCTGCCCTGCCTCGCTGCCCTCGTCTGCGCTCGTGCATAGCCGCAGAAACTTCTCCGACGTGTAGAAGTCCGGGATGCTGCAATTGCTCTCTGGGTCGAACAAGAAGTGCTTCGCCGCAGTCACCATCGTGGGATCCGTGGGGCTAGGCTCCCAGAGCTTGAGCTCCGGAGGCAACATGCGGACACGCTTGTACTTCTGCCCGCAGGGCACCAGCCGGTTGCTGGGAGCACTGTCAGACAGCTTATACCCCGGCATCAATTGCCGCAAAGAGTTGCCAAGGGCAGACAGCAAAAGCTTTGTCGCAGCTCTCTGTTGCTTGTGATCGAAAGTGTTCTTTGTCACCTTAACGTCTGAGCTGGCTTGCGGAATGCGGCCTTGAAGGCTGCTTGTGAGTGATTGAAGAACTACTGATGGGTCAGCGTCCGTAGAGGCATCGCTCAGGACTTGAGTTGGCGCAGCAAACATGTACGGCCCCACCTTGCAAATGATCGAAAGCACCTCAGCGCTGCTAAAAATCAAGACTGGCCGGTGATATGTGAACTGAAACTGGACAGCATCAACCAAACGTAAAGATGGATTTAACTGGGTTGGAGTGGGTTGAAGTGGAAGAACATGTGGAGAAGTGGACTGAGGCTAGTTTGTTTGTCAACAAGCTGACAGCTGAGTCAGGTTGGCGCAAGTATGAGTGAAAGTGGGACACGGTCAGCCCGTGCGTGAGTAGCAATTGTTTGAAAGATCCCTGCCTGTTGCTTGAAGACTCGGGCTCCATCGAAGGTGAAATTCAAGACCGGAAGGTTGCAGCTGTTGAGAAATTTCTCAACAATGCCCACCTCTTTGACAAGACATCTTGTGATGTACTCGGAGGCAGTGACTTTTCCAAGGTCGGATTTCAAGTGGACAAGCCCCAGCTCGGAAAGATTCTTCTCCTCCTTCGTGGACACAAAGCCTCCCCCGCGGGCCATGAACCTCTCGGCCAGCTTGTTGTGGAGGACGAGCTTGGACCCGGCCCTCCTCATGTCCTTCCTATAAGGGTGAAGATTGTCAGACGATGTGGGCTCAGGGCATTTGCTCATGGCAACAGTGGCCAAGGCAGTTTCGATGCGTTGGGCCAAGAAGTGAACTGCTCGCTTCAGAACTCGAGCGTGCACGCCGTTGTTGGTGTCATGCTTGACACGCAGCCAAGCAATGATGAAGGCGCCGAAGGAAATGGAGTCCTCGGAGTCGCCAGGCAGTCGCCCGACAAACCTGGAAAGGGTTGGTGAACCCCAACCAGGACCATGGCCAAGGCAAACAAAAATGATATGGGAAGGTAGTAGAGGCCCTACGCATTTTAAAGCTGTCGCAAGGGTCCTCGAACATCTTTCGACCTTGCTCCCCTAGTTGGGACACACTACGGCTACAAGAGGGATGTCAGTTTAGCAACTTTACTGGCCTGGCCCGGGAGATACCGAGTTCATGGAGCAAGGGCGCCAGATCATCAACGCAGAGCATGTTTTTGCGAAGCTCGATGTGGGCACCTTTGAACACCGGAAGGAGTTTGCAAGTCTCACTGATGTCCACAAAGGCCTCAAGGGAGCGAAAGACTTTCTCGCATTGCGCAACTTGCGATTGCTGCAACCCCTTGGCCGTCAAAAAGCACGCCAAGATGGTCAGGATGCCGGCAGGAGTCGCTGCGTCCATGGGAAGCTTGAGGGAGTGCTGGCTCCCTTTGTACGCAGTCTTGCGGGCTACCTTAGATAGCAGGTGCAAGTCTTTGACTGAGTAAGGGAAGCCAAAACAGCGTAAGTAATTTTGAAACAGCGGCAGGAGTTGAAGGGCAGCGCTGTGAAACCAGTACAACCATGCAGCCGCAGGGTCAAAAAGTCAAACGTGGTAGCCAAGTCGCATGCTGCAAGGACAAACCAAATGATGTAGCCGTGGGCTCCACGCTGGCAGCGTAGTTTTTGGAGTACCAATTGTAGAACGGTGTCCGGAATGGCCACCACGCAGCAATCGAGACAAACATCGTGTAGCCATCCACCGCATCGGTCGCCTTTTACTACTTGGTTTTGCGTAACCGCTCGGAATCTGTGCGTTTGGAACTCACATGACCCCCCCGATGCGCAGTATATTGGTTTAAATGCGGGTAGAAACCAAACATTGCAAAACTCAATCAAGCAAGGGAGAGGCCAAAGCAATGATCAAACCTGTGGGTGGTACAGCCCGAATTTAAGACATGTCCCTGTCCACTCGTCTCGAAACACTACACCCGCTCAGACCTGCATGACGGGCCAGGTGTCCTGGCCAACTGTGAGGAATTTCCATACGAACTGCTGCAAAGCGCAGTCATCTGTTGAGGAGCCTTTGGAGGCAGGGGATGACGCGTCAGGGTGAGGCGCAGAGCTGCCGGCAGTGCTGAGGGCGTCCAAGGTGTCATCTGAGGAAGTAAAGGACTTGTCTGGAAGAGGCAAGCGTTCCAACTCTGGGCCGAAGTTCTTGTACATGTCCTCTAAAAAGGCGTTGAGCTGCTCAAACTGCGCTCTCCTGTCGTCGGTGCTGGGAATGGCCTGGATCGCAAGGTAGTGCTGGGCAATGGCTTCTCGTAATCGGAGCCTTGCGTCGACTTTGCGAAGCTCCGCTGCGTCGTCATCGTCAAAGTTGTCCGGGAGGTCGCGGAACATTGACTCAAGGTCAAGAAGCCACTTCTCCTGGGACAAGGAGCAACCATGAATTTCACATCACGATCCACGCATCACTGCTACCGATGGTGGGCACCATCCGCAGACATTCTGAATAATGCCTCACACTGACAAAATGGAAACACTGTCCTTGCGCTTGCCCCGCAGGTGCAACATGGCGGGCGCAGTTTGTCGCGCTTCCGGAAGCAAAAGGCGGCTAGTGCGGTCCACTGTCAAGCGTGGTGACCCTGGGTAGCGCTGTCTGACAGGCTGCTCAGGTTAGTGGGTGTCAGCTGGGCGGCGCATTTCCCAGTTAATCACGTCCTACACGTACCTTCACACAGGGAGTATCGCCATCTACATTCACCCAACTTTGGTGCAGCTGGTCCTGGCTTATGCTTGGCTACCTGCGAGAGAAGTACTGGAGCCGCAGTCTTGTGCAAGTCGGCAGGCCATCATGGCAGGTAGCACAAACACAACACAGACTGTAAGAAAGTCGCCGACACGCACACGTAAAACAGACCACTCAGACGCGCAAGACACGAGGAGACACACACACACATATACACACACGTCGTCACACATAGAGGGACAGAAGTGCGCGCACACACACACAAACACATAGACACACACGCGTATCTCTACGCAGCCAATAGCACACAAGCAAGACTCAACCACACAGGCGCTGCACCAGATCAAACAGACACACGCGCAGGCATGGACACGCCAAGCAACTAAGAATGAAGCAAAGCAAAGGAAGCCAGGCAGAGCCACAGGCAGAACAATGAAAGCCAGGACGAAGAGATCTAGGAAACATGACTACAACAAGCAACCCCCCAGCAAGCCAACTGAGCCAGAAGAACACGCGCTACCACTCCATCAAGCACAAGCAACGCAAAGCAAAGCAAAACCAAACAACCACACAAAAAAACAAACAAACAAACAAACACAAACCAATCAACCAACAAATCAACAAGCCGACAAACAAATAAACAAACAGACAAACCAACAAGCAACCACAGGCGCAATGAAGCAAGCCAACATCCAAAGAGTCTCACATGCGTGCACTGCCTAAAACGTGAAACAATGCTCGGTGACAAGGATAGTTTGCTCTTGAGGCCCCTTCAAGAACAAGCCCCTAAACGAGAAGAAATTGTTCTTATTTGGGGAAAAGAGAAACAAAGGGTTGCCTTCAGAACTTGACCGTAAATCGGCTCGTAGCCTAGTGACTTACAACAGAAGAAAAGAACTTGCTGCGCAATGCTCTAATTGTATTCCTGAACATCAGACATCAGGTTCTAAGACTGAAATAGATCCAGGGCTACAGAGACTGCTACCACAGTGAGTATCTCCACTGGACAGTTATACTGGGGTGGAATGCGCGGTGGTATCGACAGAACTGTGGCACGCGCGACCAACGGTGGTACGCGCGACCAGTAGTTCCTGCAGCACGGAAGTATGCGCGACCAGTTCGTGGAGCACGGTAGTATGCGCGACGAGTTCGTGGAGCACGGTAGTATGCGCGACCAATTCATGGAGCACGGTGGTACGCGCGACCAATTCATGGAGCACAGTGGTATGCGGTGCCAGCTGGAGCAAGGTGGTACGCGCAACCAATTCATGGAGAACGGTGCGCGTAGGATTCTCTGGGCGCACATACTGCGTCACTCCACAAATGTTTCCTCACCACAACTCGCTCCACGTGAGTTTCGGCGAAAAACAAATCATCAAAAAAAGTGTGGAGCACGGTCGTATGCGCGGAGTCCCGAACCACTGTAAGGGTGCATCCAACATGGAACTCTTCCCATTCTCCATCCCTCATCACATACCACGAAAATCGCTTCAAAAGCAAAACAAAAGGTTCGCGCCAGTTCGCAACGAAAAAAGTCCGGAGCACGATGGTATGCGTGGAGCACGATGGTATGCGTGGAGCACGATGGTATGCGTGGAGCACGGCGGTATGCGCGACCAATTCATGGAGCACGATGGTATGCGCGACCAATTCATGAAGCACAGTGGTATGCGCAACCAATTCATGGAGCACGGTGGTATGCGCGACCAACTCATGGAGCACGGTGGTATGCGCGACCAGTTCATGGAGCACGGCGGTATGCGCGACCAGATCGTGGAGCACGGCGGTATGCGCGACCAATTCATGGGCCACAGAGACAGGGGCGGGGGCGCTTCAGCGAGGTGTGGCACGAAGGTGACAGGATGGTCTCACAGTCTTGGCGCAAACACAACGCCCATTTCGGGCCATCTATGTGTTTTTTGAAGCTATGCTGCCAACAAAACAAAGGGCCCCTGAAGCAATTTTGGGGTTTCCACGCCCCAGGAACCTACGCAACAGCTCCGACTCTTGCTCTTGCACGAATGTGAGAAACACCGGCAATGTTTGTAACATACACCGCTAGCCAAAAGGACACCACAGGAACAAGCCTGCGCGGAAGTTACGTAAGCGCAACTGGGTCCAGAGTGATACTTTCTGACTGTTCGCGCACGTTTGCTTTTTGTTTTCTGCTGGCTGCGACCTGGCTCCGGTTCACTCAGACGAAGAGCTGTTGGGCACGTTTAAGCCCTTGACAAGAACCAAAGGGCCTGGATCCTGCGTCTCTTTCTGCTCCTCTGGTTGTCCCTGCTTCTCTGAGCCGTTGTCTTCTCCTTCCTCTACCTCCTTCTCTTCCTGCCCCTGCTTCTCTGAACGGTTGTCTTCTCCTTCCTCTGCTTCCTTCTCTTCCACCCCCTGCTTCTCTGAACGGTTGTCTTCTGCATCCTCGGCCTCCTCCTCTGCCTCTGCCTTCTCTGTGTCGTTTGCCTTCTGTGCCTGACTCTGGTCTTCCTGTCGTTTACCTGTGTTCTTAGGCTTGCTTGCTTGCCCTGGGTGTGATGCTGCCGCCTGCCAAGCCGACTGTTTCGCCGCCTGTTTCGTCGCCTGTTCTGCGTGCGCTGCAGCGGCCTTTGGGTTGCCTTGCTGTTGCTTACCTTTCATTGCTGAGTTGCCAACCGGCCAGGAGCGATTGTAGAACTTGTCCTTAGTCAAGGAGCAAGCAGTGAGCAACAAAGCCAAGCGCAGGTATGCAGCAATTCCTTGCGTTCTCCCAAACAAACTATACGCTGTCAACTGCCATATTCAAGGTGTGGTTGTGGCAACAGCTCAAGGTATGCATCCAGCAAAGGATTTCGTGTCGTTGTGAGACTTGTCAAATTCCCGTGATTCGCGACCCTGGCAAAGAGGTATCAGGGGTCTTAGTCTGATGGCACAGAAGGGCACGCTATGGAATTCCCACGTCCTTCCTTGCTATGGCTGGCAAACCGTTATTTGGCCTGCAGCCGCGTGTCCAAGTCATGGCTCATTTCGAGCACAAGGAGCTTGGCACCTTTGCGCCCCACAAAGCTCATGTTGCTCAAAATCTCCCGGGCTTCACTGCCGCATGTGGCGTCCTGGGGCAACCAGCCATCGGCGACAGCTTCGAGGAGCACGGGCACAGATTCCTGGGCAGGGGCAGTAATAAAATTGAGCAAGAAATGCGTGTAGCCAGTGGAACTTGGGCAAAACAGGTGGAGGCTGGGCGGTGGCCCAGTGAAACTCAAAAAACTGACTACAAAGGCAGCCGGCTGGCAATTCCGTCCGCCTGCATGCTCTGCACAAGCAAAGCCCTGTCGTTGGCTTGGGAAAGGTACTTACCGAGTTCCTCTGCCAGGAAATCGCTCAGCTGCGTGGCGCCGTCTGCCTCGAGAGTCACGCCTGAAAGGCTGGATGGCGGGGCTGACTTCTTAGGGGCAAACTTGTCCCGCATCATGTCGCTGTCGTTGGCGGCCCCCGCAAGGAGTGGGTTGCGCCCAGCCTGACAGGTCATGTCGGAAGGAGCGGGACAAACTTTGCCCCAACGACAGTAAGGGGGTAACTGTCGCTTTGGCAGTCGCGCACGATTTCTGCAGGAGAGACGCGGCGATAACACCTCAGCGATAACACCTCAATAATATTGAGCGCTATCCCGCGTTGCCGTAAGTGTGGCATCACCAGGCACCGCCACCCTAGCATCACCAAGCATCCAGCACGGGTTCGTGACCTCTCCTGGCGACGTATGTACAGTCTGTGTACACATACTATGTATATGTGTGTGTGTCTATGTGTGAATATCTCATGTTATGGATGTATTGCTAACATATCGGGAGCAGTTCTCCGTATCTTACAAGGCAGCGGCTTCGTTCCGAACTGAAAAGTCCAGCTCACTCCAGCCGCCCTCCACCGCTTAAGTTTAAGTTCCTGGCAACCACTTTGCGCGGCAGCCCGCCAGACTGTGCAGCCCAGCCCCGGCAGCATTGTCTCAGGCCTGCATTGTTCTTATGGTTCTGGCCGAGGCGTGCACCGCGCAGCTACAATTCCGCACCAACCCTTCTGGGGGGTTTTCACCGCCCTGGTCACCCTGGCAAAAACATAGGCCACCTAGGATGGATGCATTTTGGTTGACCCTTTCTTCTACTAATCAGGGGAACCCACTGAACAAAAAGGGGAAAAGGATGCCGGGCGATGCGCAACAAACTGAGCGTGGAGACACGTGCGGCTTGCAATGGATGAGGCTTGTGCCCCTGTCTTGGGGAAAAACATGTGTTTCGACTCTTTTACGGAAGCTGGGAACCCCAAACCTGTTCCCTGGCACACAAGGCTTGAAAGGTCAAATTATGTGAAAACTGCCCCTGGGAAGTTGATCAATACTGGGGTGTCCATTTGCTTGTTGCATGTGTTCTCGCAATTGTCTCTGGAAACCAAGCGGTAAGCTTGCTCCCAAATGCTAAAGCCACACCCGCGCCGCTGACTGACCCTGGAAAGACCAAGTTGGCGGACTCATGGGGCATGTGTTCCTCTAAAATGTGACAGGCCCGCTTCTCGGGCCTGTCTTGCAAAGCGACCCGGCTTCCCGATCATGTCTTTCTCCTCTTTGTCCTCGTCCTCTTCCTCCAGGTCCTCGTCGTTGGCGTCGAAACTTGAGCTGCTTTTCCGT